TTTAGTATATTAAATAAGTTTTCAGTTTTCTTAGTTTCAAACGATACATATTTTTTTATTCTATGCAAAAAACTTTTTTACTGAACGTTATATGATTTTTTGGACTAAATGGATAAATAATTACTATAATTAGTTTTCTTTTTTATCTTAATGTATACTGTGTTACCATTAATTTGACATAAATATCAAAGACATAGGTTTTTTGGACCATTATCCAAAATTTAAAAGAAAAATGTTGACTGATGTTTGATTATTGAAATATTATATTTTATCACCTCTCAGTTCAATTGACTGAAAAATATATCCGTATTAACTGAGAAATAACTAGTATTGTTATCTAAATATTTTTGAAAATGAATAAAATGTTCATGAATTTCTATAGGTTTCAATTTAAATTTTTTTAAAGCCATCAATACCATTATCATTATTATTAGTTTTTATTTTTAAGTATTATACTAACTTTTTGATACTATTCTATTGAAAGCACAATAGAAAATGTTCGATTTAGATAAGCCAAACTTGCTGTTAAAAAGTAGGGAGATTATTTATCCGACAATCGTTTGACACTAAATAAAAGGATGAAGGCACAAGCTATAAAGGGTGTAGTATATTCGTGTCTGAGGTGATAAAAGAGAATGACAAAAAAACAACATCAGAAAAACTATAGAGGCGTATATTTTATTGAAGCAATAATTGAAAAAATATAAGAGTAAAAAAATTGTTTTCCTCAGTTGTATTGCTAGGTACAATAAATAATCCTTCACGCCCGACTATCATTTTCTTTTTCTTATGCTTGTACATTGGTGCGAACAAGTGATTACGGGCTAGCGTGCATGTTGGACGTTATGTAGTCAACAATCTATACTTAACCTAACTCGGTGTAACAATAAGCAATAAAATTTAATTTGCACCTTGTACCATTATGCAAAAAGAACTGGTTAAATATTTGATTGCTCTTAGTTTCTCGGAAGCCACACAAAATAACAACGATACCGTTTTTGAGAATTAACGTTTATTTTTTAAACTTGATATCAACGACTACACCAAGAAATATTTGATCCGTCTGAAAGACTTTTCATTATATATTTATTGAGTAAGTTTGATAAATACTTTACTGACTTTCAGGTACCTATGAGATTTTCTTATAAACTTGATGTTCAAAGTTCTTTTATGATAAATATTGTGGTAAGGCAATAAAAAAAAACTGTTTGAAATTTAATTTGATTTTTTATTAAAAATGAACAAAAATATATTAACACAAAATGGAGATAAATTCCTTAACGCGAAGTTGTTGTATTAAATTTGGAAATTTGCAATAGTTTAACTATGTTATATCTATTTATTAAAAATTAATATTCATGAAAATCATGAAAGGACTATACAGAATTTTAATTCATGTTCAATTATAAGAACACAATAAAAAAAATATCTTTAAGCGCCACAATTTTATTAAATTTATTGCTATGATTAAAAAATCGTTTTTTCGGTACAATTATAAAGTTTAATAATATATTAGTTTTACTTATTGAATATATGAACAAATTATAATATTTGTAAGTATAATCTTTTATATTTTTTTAAGAGATAGAACTATATTTCCTATCACGATTTTATCAATACTTTGTAATCCGTTAACTGTGATCAAATGCTATAAGTGTCAGAATGTTTGTTAGCCAATCAGATGAACAAATATAGAAGTTAACAAGCACAATGTGCAAACGGATTTCTTGAACCAACACTATACATAAAAGTTTATTTGAAGTACAAATATTAGGGTAAAAAATAAGCTCACAACTTTTGTTTAAAGTTTTAGATTAAACGGTGTACGTGTAATCTTTCAAAAACTACTTTTCAACTTTTTAAGGTTATTATTGCTAAAGTATAAGATCTGATTTTTTTAAATGTACTTAATTTAATTGTTATACATATTTTTAATAATTTTTTTCCAATGAAGTTAGGAACATATTTGTTTTTATTTTTAGTAAAAAAAAAAAATGAAAAACAAATATTTATTATTAAATAACTATTGTTTAGAAAAAAAATTATCATCGACAAAATCCAATAAAAAGTATTAGTCCAAGTATACATTATATAAATATCTCTAAAGAGTTTAAACGGATAAAATGTAAAAATAAAATAGTGGTTAGTAAGCTTTAAAGTACTTTTTATCCGTGTTCATCCATCCATGTCCGTATTAATTAAGAAATAAAATATGGCATCTGCACTCTTTTTTTATTTTTATCTGCACGGTTCGATTACTTCATAAAAATTAAAAGTTTTAAGAAGGACCGTGTTCTTGTTTTTTCCTTGATTTTTCTTTGGATAATCTTCTCGCTGGAAAATTCAGTATCAAGTAGTGCGGAAGTTCGGAGGTCAAGGGGAGATCGGTCTCGGGGTAGAACTATCAGCAAGTTGACACGACGTTAGAGGGTGACAGAAAACTATTAAGATAAAGCATTTTGTCCCTTTTCGTCACTGCCCACACCCTTTGCAGAACAACAGTGGTTGTTTTTCGGGTCATGTGTCAGTCTTTTGGAGCTGAATGGTTAATTCAGTTATCTGAGCGTAAACATAACGAATTCCAATATGACGTGTTTTCGGTAAGACTTAATGTAATAATTCGTATTGTTGTATGAAAACGTGCACTTAATTGCGTTACTTCGATATGACGAAGTTCTGACAAGCAAATCACTAATGCAACGGGATTTTTTTACTCTGAATCGCCTTTGAACAGCGTCCAGCTGCCACGGAAAGGATTATTTTTCCATTCGTTGTTTTATTAGTGCCTCTCTCCATTAAGTATGCGGAGAATGCGTAAAAAATACTCGCGGTGTACAAAGTGATTGCATAATGTACGCAAATTTTTCCTTTCCACGTTCTTTCATCCATTACCGCTTTAGATGTAACTCATTTTGTTCGGTATGCGTTATGAAAAATAAAGGGATTCCCATGTTGTTCATAATAATGTACTAGGTTGTGCGGTCTCTTACTTTTTTACACGTGTCCCCGTCGTGCCCTAACAATAACACGCGTGTAGATGATGTGTATATAATCCGCAATCCTCTTATGTACTTCGCGCTATCAGATTAGCGGACACTCGAACAAGTTTGGCTATATAGTTGTCGGCGGTAAGTCAGCTAAATTATTCATAGACCGCCCGGCGATAATGAAACAAAGTACGTACGTGTACGCACACATTTGTGGACTTGCATGTGCGAAAATCCATTATGTTCCAAGCCGAGACTTCACACATGACGTGTCCGCTCAAAACACGGTGCGACCCTTTTCTGAAGAACCCTAATTTTAATCCTAAGCCAAGAGGTATATAAGCTTATTATACAAAATTTTCCATCCTCTGAGCGATTGTCGTCTATTTTAAATAACTAACCGATTCATTTAGAGCAACCGCTGCAAACAAAGATTTTATTTTATACTTTATGAAAAAATACATTCAAAGGATTATACGTACTCATGTGCATGTTTGCTGAGAAACCCAATTGTTTAAAATAAACGGACATTTATTTTATCATTTCTTAAATTATTCAATATGCTATTCTATGTTTTTTCTCGTCTAAAAAGAATACTAATGAGTTATTTTTAACAACTGCAGAGGGCTGTCAAATATAGCCTTCTTAAATTTGTATAAATCACGTGCAAAATTAAAGTGTATTCTTTATCATAAATAGTTTTAATTAAATTAATTATCTTTAATACAATAAAATATTTAATTTCAATACACAATTGCTAATAAAGTTGATTCTAAAATTTATAAATCTAAAATCTTTGCCACTAAATTTCGAATTGACAGCTAACAATTATTGAAATACTACTTAGACATCTTTCATTATAGAACACAAATATTGTATGATAATTTTTCAATTATTTTATTAATTATGTAAATTCTGTTAGCTTTGCAAAACTGATTTAAAATTATCTTTATTTTGTGAGTTAATTAAATCAAACAATTTAGATTAATAACAAATACACAAACTAAAACAAACATAAATGTTGAAAATAAATTCATTATTTCAACTATTTTTAGATAGTAATTACTTTGTATTTCAGTTGAGTTTTGTAAATAACACAATAAAATATTGGTAATACTTTTACAAAAAAAAATCCAAAAGCTTTAACTATATCGTAAATGCTCGATTACACAAGAATATATTACATATATTTTTAAGACTGATATACACAAAGATATAAATATTAAACTGTAACCTATTTATGTTATGAATGATTTTTAAAATAAATTTTAAAAAAAGAGTTATAATATTTTTGTAACAAATATAACTGTTAACCCATTTACGGTTGTGCATATATTTTGTATAGATGTAAATTTTATAAAGTTATTTGAATAAAAAAAAAAAAAAACAAAACAAATATTTTACTAGCATCTGTATAAATAATATATTACATTTCTTTGCAACATAGGCGATTATGTAATGAAATAACTCGAATACAAAAAAGAAGGTACTGGGTTCAATCGTAGTTATATATTATATCGAACTTAAAAACACTAACACAGCAGTTCAATGGGTTGAGAGGGAGGGGTGAACTGACATTATTATATCTAGGGAGATTACATACATAGTGTAAACACGTACATTTGGTCTGTCAGTGCAATGGCTAAATGTTTTTCTCTGACATCGTATAAACTTTAACTAACCCCAAATAGTATTGCCGATACAATGCTCAGTATACGTATGTATTATACATATATGTAACTCATGGGTCTCCTACGCATTATAGAGACTCACTGTAGATTTTTATTATTTCCATTGTACGTTATTAACCTAGGTGGTATATGGGAAGGCCTAAGGAAAGAGGGATAAGAACAGCCATCGTCGTCAACGGCTGGGACCAGATGGACTCAGCAGTAACCGTTTGTTGCTCGTGCACCCTATCAATGTGAGAGCACAGGGTGCTGTGGATATCCGTGAAGGTGAGGGCAAATAATGTAATAGAACTGTAGCGGGTGAGGTAAAACAATAACTTACTTATGTGGAAGCCGAGCGTCAGTTGGCCGATAAAACAAGCAGCGGATATGGCCAACGCGATGGAAAAATCATGACCCCAACGCCACTCCATAGCCGTTGCGGTGTATTCTTGGGATCTCTTCTTTATCCGCTAACCGACTGCAAAACAAACGCATAAAACTAATATCAAAAATACTGCATAAAACATTTAAAATAATATTTTATTCTCTAGAAGATATTTCAAATAAATTTATGATCACTATTTTAGAGAATAAAAATGATCTCGTTCAATCCTGTGATTGAATATCACAAAATACATGTTTATAAAATAATTAAACATAAAATTTATAAAAAATTCCACTTAAATAAAGTGAAATTATAAATTTGACAAAAATGAATTCACTTATTTTCAATTAGTCACAACGTTTCAAATAAGTGTAATCATAATTCATAGTAGTTATCTACTGATATTGGCGTCTGCTAGTATAATGTATTAATATTATGCTATTTTGACATCAGTAGTATAACTCTTGCTATAGAAATTGTACAAATCCCAGAGAGATGAGCCTAAAGTTGTGTAGTGCGAGTTAAATATATATATATATATATATATATATATATATATATATTACGTGAAACGATGATAGGACATACAAGAATTGAACCTCCATGCTGTGCAAACCGATCGCACACGTTACCTATTGAGAGTTTGATCGGATCGTGAGTAATTTCTCTTGGGACATTTTGTCTGGGTAAATTGGAAACGCGCAAAGATTAACGTGAGATAACTATTGTTCGAACTATAAAAACGATGAAAAAAGAATTCGTTCGTATTATTACTATTTCAGGTCTGTGTCTTATATCATTGTTGCTATTATGAGTGTATTCCACAAACTCCTCAAGAATCATGAATCAATTCCGAAATGTAACAATCTCTTTGTAGTTAAAAATAAATAAGAGTATTTAAAAATAATAATAATAGGAACAATAATTCAAACCTTCTAATATTTAGATACAGAGCAATAAATTATAAAATTATACTATCAAACCATAAAAAATGCTTGTTAAAAAAATAAAAGTATTTATTAATTTAGTTTCAATTAATTTATGCAAAAAAAAAAAAAAATGTCATAAAAATATTACAATATACTTATTTCTATAAGTCGAATTAAAAATAAAATCTTCAAAATTCAATTCAGATCTTGAAATGAGAAAAGTAGACTATCTTTGTGATGCATATAAAAATATTGCAACTAACATGTATTTTAATATATAAACTTCAAATATTTAAACGTGTACAAGAATATTGTTTTTATTTTTTTTATGAAGCATACTTCTTTGAGATAACTCCCGTAGACCTCGGTAATGCATTTTATGATGTTTTTGGTTAATAGATTGCCTAACTCTGGACTTCCAAGGAAACTTACGAGTATATGTTATTCCCAGAGGCGTATAGAGGAACACGAAAGACCATTCGACTAAACCCAAAATCCCATCGGTATTGCCACCGCGAAAATATTCGCACCATACTAGGGTTCTAATCAAGAATCAATTGTGCCAAAGCCTGCATCATATAATTTCTAATAATAAAATATTTTAGACAAGAAATGAAATAATAGACCATTTTACTATTGTTATTCTTAAAAACTATAAAATAAAATAGCACTTAATCATTATACTAAAAAAAAATCCCGTTCTGTATAAAATAATTATTTACTCCTTAAATACTTTTAATAATGATTTTCTAGAAAAAAATATCGAAGTTAATAGCACAAGGTGTAAAAACATGAAACTTTTAATTATTTGATGAAAACAGTTTTTTGTCGTATGCGCAGTAAGATATAAATAGAAAAAAAACATTTCATTGGTCAAATCTTTTTGTGCTTGGTTATAAAAAACACATTGAAATACTTTTGAGGCGCCTACGTCTTTTCCGCAGATACATCCCTTTTAAAAGATCAGACGGTATTAAAGGTTGATCGGTAAGTAGTTGTACACGGTTTAGAAGGGAACATATGACTTTAAGAGGTTTATGGTAAAAACGACTTTCGTTAAACAAAATAAAGAGCCCCTTGAATTCAACGACAAAAGATTTATTTTTGACAAAAATAACATACAAACAAGTAATATAGATTAATAACGTATATGACGAAAATTTACAGAACGCGTAAAAGAAAAAGAAAAACTAGAATGGACATCGAAATTACTAAAAACTAATGATTGTTAAAATATGAACTTTGTAGAAAACTCAAAGTGGACGATTGTAGCTGCAAGTTATGCTTACGGGTAAACGTTGAAAGCTGATCTGGGGAGCGGTAAGATAATATATAATTATATTATATTATCTTATATATTATAAGGCGTATAAGGCGTATACGGCAGTGTATGCATAAATGATAGACTAAAGTGGCACTGGTGTGACTCGGGACTATTATGCAGACGGTAGATAGGTAATATTAGTTTAAAATTCATTATTTCTAGAGACCTCGTGCAGTTTTAATAAATTCATGGGATGCTCGTCAACCCTATTAATAACTTATAAGAACCAGTTTTGGATTCAGTTACCATAGTTAAGATCAATCTCTTGTGTTTTGTTTCACCGCCGTAGAATTTGATTAAGCTTATTAAATCAGTAAACGGTAATTTTCCATGCGCTTCGTGATGGAGAACGACAACGCGTATTAGAATCAAAAAAATTGTATCGTGGCATTTTTTTCTTTGGGGAGATAAACATTTAGTTATTTTTTAAATACTATACGCAAATACGAATCTTCATTGCGATGTCTTCAATCAAACCTTTTTTATCATATTTTTCCGATCGAAATTATAAATAATATTGTTGACTTGCTAGGTATTAACCGTTAGAGCAAAGATATCGAGTTCAAAAATGGTTAACTTTTGTTACGAGTAAGTATTCTTAGACATTTATTTTTTGTTAAATGAGTTACGTTATAAAATGTAAGAATAAAATAAATTACTAGACAAGAAGAGATAGACGAGTAGTAATTATAAAAAAATCTTTATATTGAAGTATTTCTAAGAAATATCTAAGAATATCTTTATATTACTTTTAAACTTCTACACGGAGAAATAATTGAAATACTATTTATTCTTAATGCACTTGATGTGTTCATAATGTTATATCACTTTTTAAATACCTTTCGAAAGCCTGTCTAGACGTTACTATGCTTTATAAAAATGCCAAAAGCTTTTATCATATGCCACAGCCGCACGTTTCAGGGTTTGAACTCGATGGACAAACGTCATTTTGGATTTAATGGCGATTTGATGGGTTGATCTATTTCACGTTGAACGTCATTAGTCCATGAAAACAAACTCCGTGAAAGTTTCTGCTTGTCACTTTACTGTCGTACAAACTTTTTTATCTTTAAAATTGCGCTTTATTCGAAGGCAATTAATACTTTACATTTTAAAGGTAAAAATTTTAACGTTTTAATTAAAAAATAACATTACACGTTGTATGTTTGTTTGTTTTTATGTTTTCGTAAAATATGGCTTTGTATTGCATACTAGAAGAAGAGTCATCATTAAAAAGGCATACCATTTTCTTTTAATGGCACACTTTGTATATTACCATGCGAATATTTCGTATCCCCTTAAAAATTTCGATTGGAGTTTAATTAGTTTTTTCAATTAAGCCCTCGTGAATGGAAGTAATTTTAAAGATAAAACGCAATGCGTTTTTAAATTCATGTTCTCTGTTTAGGTGTGTAATTCTCTTACCATATACTGATTTCACAAAATTGCTTTTCAAATAAAATTCTATCACGTGCTGTTGAAGGATTTTATCTCAATTTGATTTTATAAATTAACGTAGAAGACAATAAAACAACGAGACTTTTGTATTTGTGCACAGCTTAAAGTTTAATGTGCATAATGTCACTTGCAGCATGGAAGTAGTATGTACTATTTTTAATATCATTAAAATTTCCATTATCCATTCAAATATCAAATAGTTTTCAATAAATCGAGTTCTTACTACTTCGATTAATAGAAACTGTCATTTGGGATTTCCAATAAATACCATTCTATAAATATTTATAAGCAAAAAACAGTTTCAAATATGAACAGAAATTTGATTTTTCAAAGGTGAAATAACATTTGTAATACTTTTTTTAGTAATCGTTATGTCAACGAATCGTATTTATAATTATTTTCGACTGATTCAGTAACACTTTTAGCATAATCGATATGTTAATAGTGTACTCCGAAAGATCAATACCAATTGTTTGTCCTTGTTTAACACACGGCTATACAATGTATATGAAATGTTTAAATATTGTTTTACATGAAATCAAATGAAAATCAATAAGATTTTATTGAAATAGCGTAGGATATATTGATGTGGATACAACGTATGAATCGACCAAAGTACTATGCAATCTAGGCGGTATTAAATACTTAATAATACATGTTTGCTATTCTTACCCCAACTGGGTGTAATAAACATCCCCACTGCCATTCACATTCAATTCCAACAGAATAACTCCTCTGGGTGTAGTGGTTGTTCTCGGTGGCAATAATGGACTATTTTTTTCCATTCTTATGTTTGTCCAGGCCAAAGGGAAAAGTGCAATCGTCTAAGTGCGCAATAAAATAATGGCTGAATCAAACTACCTATTACCTCCTCGGAAAAGAACGAAGGGGGCGCATACCGAAGTAAATGGATACATTCAAAATTAACTACCGAGTAGGACGTATGTGCACGTGTGGTGAACGATTGTCAATTCTTGCAACGTCGTCCCTTGACACCACCTCAGGAGGTTTCCATCTGAGCTCTGGCCGACCTCAACAATATTACGATTGAACAGACGATCGCCTTCATGAAAACAATATCCAACACCTTTTGTAAAAGCTCAAGAAAGTTTTGATTTGTACATTTAAATTGAATGAAACAATGGAAATATTTTTATTACAATGAAAGTTATCCACTGATGAATATAAATGTACCAATTGTTTGTAGAAATTCCTGTTAAAATTAACCAATACTTAAAATCAGGTTTGTTATATTTTTTCTTTTTTTTTTAACGAAAATGCTTATTGTTCTAATTTAATGACTTTTTAGTACTAAAATCAAGATAATAATAACGAATTTAATCAAACAATAAGCTGTATTCAATACGACGTTTTAATTTTAA